TAGTATGAAATAATCCCGTAGTGCTTCTGAGCAGCCTAAGCTCACAACAGGCAGTTTGAAAGGATGATGAAAATATGTTCCTGACTTACGCAGCTGTGAGCTAATTATCCTCTGAGGAGATTAAAAAAACGAAAAAGAAAGCAAGCCAGTGGTGGAAACAAACAATGAATTCTTTTCTCCAAACCTCATGAAATGGCTACAGTAACAGATAATTGGATTAAATTGTAAAGTAAATTCATCCTAGTTGAGAACCATCTTTCTAGTCGTCTTTTCATCTACCCCTCACTATTACTTTGTACTGGATTTTAGTTCTTTCCATGGAAATGAAGTACACTGGTGGAACTGCTTGGCTTAAACAGTTGGAAATAGAAATACTGAGCTTTTCCCCTTTAGGTCCTTATTCAAATCTATCCCAGGTGAGTCATTACTGAAACTTGTTACAATCTCATCAACATTTCTATGTGAAAGTAATTGGTTGAGTTAGATGGTATGTTCAGTGAATTTTGTAATGAATTAAAATCTGATTCTGCTAATTTTCAGTATCTAGTACTATTTTTACTATTTAGTAACAAGGCAGCTGATGAATGAGATACCTATCTTTTTACTCCCTTCACAGTGGGAGAATGGGGTTTGCACTGTTTTTACCAGTGTTGTAATCAAATACAAGACTTTGTTGCTGAATGAAAGTGTATGTGGTAACTCAAATTAACATGGAAATTTTGCATTAATTTATACATTCTTGGAACACTGTTAACCAGGACATAGTTAATAGTAGTTTGAACTAATAGCCAGGTCCTGGCCTGTATTCCCTTATATATTGCCATCAGCAATAAAAAGTGTGCAAGGTGGTTTCTACTCTGTTCTTGTTCAGGTTTCATTGCATTCAAGTATGACTTGCCAACAATAAGATATCACAGATGTTACTTTGATTTCCACTGCCACACTGAGAAATTTTTATGTTTAAATTTTGCATATTGATTTTCACTGATACTATCTGATACACTGACGACATAACTTTCACAAAAAGAGTGAAATTAATCTCACATTCTTGAAAACTGCTATATTTCTTAAGCTATTTCTTGGCAAATGAGGCAATAGCCTGGAACTGAGCAGTTTGAGTTCATAGGAGTTTACGTGACTGTCTTCTTCAGTAGGAGCCTCTTGGCTGTGCAAGCCTCTAGTTTGGTTTTCTGCTTTCAATCCAGAAATGTGTCAGCAGAACACAGTCAGCCATGGACTGGCTGGCTCTGAATATTTCATGTTCTACAAATATAACCTTGAATCTGTCCCAGCTGTCTCAAAATTCAATCCTGATGTCACTCTCGTCTCAACCAACATAAGCTGAGTTCCTTATTTCAATCTATACCAAAAGATGAGCTGCAGGTACTGAAGTTAAAAATGTCATGTGTTTGTGGAAACTGTGACAAGAATGAAATAAATAAATAATCAAATCTTACTTGCCTTCCTTCTGCTTCCAGATTGGATAAAGGTGTTGCCCATAATCTAGAAGGGAGTTGCTGGTGTGACCTTAAGTATTTTTATTGTTCCATGTTTGAGAATTGTCATTGCTGCTATGGTAAACAGCATCTCCTGTGGAACCCCACCTCTTGCCTCATTTTCAGGACAGCTAAAATTGGGCAGAGAGAACCCAATAGCTTTTTGGGCAATCTCTCTTTCTGAGAGATTTATCTTGTTCAGTCTATTTACACTCCTCACACCAAAATACCCCCATTTCCCTAGGGCAGTCCTAGATCCCTTGAACTGAAGTATCTTCTTAAAGCTGTTTTGTTTCTGCGGTAGCAGTGGATATCTGTTTAGCACCTGAAACTGGACAGTGTGTAAGTTACCTGCTGCAGAAGATATCACAGCAGCTTTTGCATGGCTAGAGAGAGCCACAGCAGTCTCCAGGGCAGGGATGCCTTCACCTTTCTCACTGGTACAGTGGTCACAGGTGCTCAGATAGATTAAAAACCCTTCTGCCATGTTGCCACAACCCACGCTGCCTTTTTCCCGTTCCATGCTCGCATGTCAGAGACCTCTGGGCAGTGTGCTGGGGTCTCCGTGCTCCCCCCAGGCACTCGCACAAAACCACGGTCGCTAAGGACAGAGGTCATGCCGAGGAGAGGACGAGGGTGTAAAGAGCCTGTTGTCCTCCTAGCCCACAGCTCCCTCCCTGCGGGAGGCCTGAATGATGGTATGATGCAGGGGAGCATTTTAGAGGAATTTTTATGAATGCACCAGTCTGACATTTATAAACTTCCATTATTAATGTATTCATTTACAAGGCACATTAGCTGCAGTGCTTTTTATTAAAGTGCAGTGTGTTTTTATATAACATGGTTTAAGAAAAAGAACTGCCATGTATCTAGATAAACTAGTCTGTTATGGCTGAATATAGCCTTCTCAGAAGTTCTTTTAAATTCCGTTAGAGGTCTTAAAATAGTCTTAAAACAGGAACTCTTTCATTGTAACAGGTATTAAATAGCAATGTGCAAAAATGAACATACCTTTTGCATGGGCACATAGGGAAAATGTTACCCTTTGCTGGGTCAAATTTCACTGTACTTAAGCTCAGCAAAAAAAGATCACCAGGAATGTTTTATTACATGGTGGACTGGAGACATAGGCTCGCTCCTTCCAACTTTCTTCCTGTGTTTCTGTTTTGGATGTGTATATAGACAAAACATGTGAAAACCATTATCTACTTCATATTTAGAGCTTGGAATGACAGAAGACATCCCTGTGTTTGGTTTGTGCCACCCTTGGGAGGAGGGATTACCTTGGCAGGGAAGGCTTCCATCTAGAATAGAGTTGAAAAGATCACTAAGTTTCCTGGCTTTTTAGAGGGATGATGATGATGCAAGAAACTTTTATTTCCCAGCGATTCCTTCACAAAACCTCGTCATCATGGGCAAGCCTTCTTTCAGCTTCCTGGGAATAGGGAAACATTATGTTGTTTCTTGCAAATTCCTTTGCTCTATATTTACATACTGCTAACATTTTTTTCCCCCACTGTTTGCTTGCTCTGAAGAGAAGCCTTGGTTTTTCTGAACATACTCAGTTTTCTGATCCAGATGTTCAGAAGTAAAACGTTCATGCAATGAGCTAGTTTGGAACTTAGCCTCACTGCTGCTTGGTGTTTCAGGCTTTCCTTTTCTTCTTTTTTTTTTTCCCCCAAATCTGTTTGAACTAAGTTTCCCATGCTCTTTTTCCATTTACATATTACCACAGTGTGTGAACACTAGTTTTTTTCTTTTTTTTTTTTCACAAAAGTATAGTCTATTTCTAATAAAGTCTTATCTGACAACATCCAGCTGCTTTTATGGACCTACAGCAAATACTATTTTGCACTGGGGAAAAACATTGGAGGCAATTATGTGGACGGCGTGTGCATAAGCTGTAGCGTAATGAGCATGGTGAATTTTTGAATAAATATGTACTAATCATGTAATCTCTAAACTCCAAATGTTATCATGACACTGAGCTATATGATGGCACTGATGGGATTGTTAGGAAAACCTGCATCCATACATCATTGTTAGTGATTATTTTTCTTTCCATTTATATTAATACATATTAATATTTGTATTACTTTTGTCATTTCTCTTTCTCTTCTCACAAACCTTCTCTCTCTGATTTGTGTTTTTTGCTCTGCGTGTTAGGTTCATTTAGCCTGCAAGCTCATGCAGTGCTTGGCACAACAGTTTCTGCAAGTAGCTGACCTGCTTACTAGCAGAGGGATCTCATTGAACCGTCTTTTAGCTCTTTATTCCCCACCACTAGTTTTGTGCCTGTTGCTGCCTTGGCCTTAGCATGGCACCTTTATTCAACTGAATCTCCAGTTGCCAAGATGATGTTTGACAATTGCTTCCCATACATTTGCTGCCACATCTACTTGGAGGTATCTACCACCAGTCTCAACCCTCCTTTCCATCTTCCAAGCCACTTGTGAATTCTCTTGACTTGTGATTAAAAATAGTGGCTCATACCTGGGCCATGCAAATTGTTGCAATAAATATGTTCTAAGCAGTTAGTTATGATACATGTAGAATATTGTAATAATTTAGTGCCATTTTTCAGTATGTCTATATTGCTGTTGATCAAAGGGATAACTCTGAAGTGAGATATTTGATGAAAATCAGCTGCTTGAGAATGCAAATGCTTTTGCTTGTCTGGCAATCGGCACTGTTTTACGCACTGACCCTTCGCACAGACTTCAGTGAATTTTTGTTTGATAATAAAGGAGAGAAACAATTTAGATCAAAGCTTAGGCTTAGATGGTCCTGTGTCATAAAAGGTTTTACAGCCTCCTTAATTCACTGCGGAGGAAAACTCTCCCATTGAGATAATGGATAGTTCTGTAAAGGATATTTTAGTTACAGCTGAAATAGAGGACTTAAATCTGCATTTCAAATCCGATGGTTTAGAAAAAGTAAATAGTATCAATACTATCAAACAATGTGTTCAGTGACTGATGAAGTTTGAGTACATGCACCATCACAATCGGAAAGGTGACTTTAACACTAATAGAGTTAAGTTTAACTCCAGGGCCTTCACTTTTCTCTCACACACAGTCATGTTTCTGTGTGTCAAACCTGTAGGTTGTGGCCTGACATACAAATGCAGCAAAATCCAGAGTCCAATTTGCCAAAACTTAAGAAAGTTCAAGATTTGTACCTAGGTCCATACTTGAATTTTGTTTCTTCTCAAGAAACTGTAATTGAAGCTCTTAAAATTCATGCTTTGCAGATATGTTTCGTCTTCACAGTCCAATTCTCTTCTAGACCACTGTTTTTAAGAAACTAAACTTGCCTCAAAATTTTAGGATATTGGATATCTGCATTAAAAAGTTTAGACTATAACTTAATTTTAGAGCTGCATAAAATTGTCGAGTATCATCTTTTTTTGTAATGTAATGTTCTATATGAAATATTTAAAGAAATTAAAGGGAAAGGCTTTGTGCCTTTTCAATTACTCCTTGAGAACTGATTTCTCTCTCCAGTTTCTTCTCTTAGCACAGATTGCTGCTGTGAGCTTGACTTTATGGCTGAATAGACACTTCAGTACAAAAAAGGGTCCAAGTGATTCCAATCGTTACATGATGCTTTGGCACCTTGTGCTGGTTATATCACCTCCAATCCAAGTGGTTTCAGTATAAAAATAGACAAGTTGGAAAAAGAACAGCTGTCATCTTTTATGCATAGTTTTAAATTTTTTATATGTGATGTTAGTGTGTGTGGAAGGTGCTAGATGAGCCCCAGGGCTGCTGCAGGCACTGGGCTCTGAGAGCCGGCGCAGTTGGTGCAAGCATGGAGTGAGACATGGCCGTGCCCCGCAGCACCAGCCATCCTGGCCAAACAGTCACCTGTCCCCAGCACTCGGCCACATTTTGCAAGACAACTTTCCTAGTAGGTAGTTGGTGCCATTTTATGAAAACACAAACACATGTTTTTGGGTTTTTTCAGTTTTGGCTCTGGTAATTGCTTGTTGGTTACAAGTCATTATTGAGACTTCAGGATTGCCAGCAGCATTCATGGGGTAAAAGACAATTTCCAATCTGATATATTAAACTCTAGAGTCTAGACACTTTAGGAAGCAAATGAAGTTGTTTTGAATACTAGTCAGTATGTGTGTATTAAGACAGCTGACACCCACTCTTGACTCTGTCTGCACATTAATAATTTGACTCTGAGCGTTCAAATTAGACATATATTTTTTTCTTTCATGCCAGAATTTCTTTGCATACCAGATGCCATGTACATCACCTTACTTTGGCTAAGGATTGAAAAGAATTAAAAATACAATCTTCCCTCCATGTCATTCTGTTATGGTTTGTTTTGTTTGGGCAACGGGTTTGTAGCTTCATTCCTGTTTGTTTATTTTTATGTATGTATACATAAATATACAGAGTTTTGTAAATGGGCTCTGCCCGTTCACCCTCAGGAATAATTGTTATTCGCTATGTCCAGCTTCCAGCCCTCTTGCAGACCCCATCCATCATCTTCAGCCCAGCAAGGTGCAGAGCTGCTGCCCCCGCGTCACCTCCCTCTGCTGACGGAGGCCTGGCCCACGATGGGCAACATGGTGCAGCAATTGGTTTCTTCAAATGTTGCATCTCAGATCCTCCTGGTTCTTGGCATGCTTTTATGCCCTAAAAGCTCTGGTTATTTCAAATTCATTGCACTTAAATGTGCTTTCAAAATGAATGCCTTTTGCTTAGAAAATATTGCCATTCTTTGTACAATGTGGTGAAAGGTTTAACAGTGGTGAATGGTTCTTATGCATGCATGAAAAGTATATAATGAGTAATTTTTCAGTGTAAAATTGTGTTTATTCAGAAATTATACCGCTGGTATAAGTATTGCCACTTTCTGCTAGCACATTTCTATAACCATCGAATTGCTTGCAGTACAAATCCAAAGCTATTCAAAGCAGATCTTCTGTATAAGTTTAACTCCAGGGGTCTGCATGTCTCTGTTAGTCTGAATAATGAAGCACTGGATTAAAATGGGCACCCTCAACTTTTGATTGCACCAGAAAGCAAAACAGGGAGGAAAGACCTTGGCCAGCCATCATCAGTTTGTTCAAATCGCAGGCTGTTTTATAATGGGATCAGCAAGAGGATGTCCTGAAGATATATTTCTGAAGATTTCAACACATTGCAAGAGTTGAGTCTCCTTTCCTAAAGGAAAATCATATAAAGCTTCCAAATACATAATACATGACCTGCTTTTGATTTCCTTTGGAAATCCTTTGGATTTGGCATTTGGAATGAAGACTGGAACCTTAACCCACCCTCATGCATGGGTTTAAGATTTGTGACTTTCGGGGATGAAGAAGAAGGCACAGACTCCCAGTGGCTTGCTGCGTCCATAGCAGACCATAACTGGGGAAATGAGACATGATTTGCCCTGTTTAAACAGAAACATATGTGGTTGACTTCTGAGGATCTTGCGTGTAACAATTCATGGTGTGAATTCTCCAAGGAACTCCATTTTCAAAATCATTTATGCCAAATTTAGTCAAAATGAAGCAAGTGACTTTACACTTGCTGAATATGAATGTCCATGGGAGGTGTAAATGTGGCATAACTAACCCATACTCTGGTTTGTGATTATCTGCGTCAGCAGAGCAGCTGTCACTACTTTGCAAGGGCTGTTTACTGTGCAACGCTGTCACTCGATGCTTGTGATCTTTGTGAATGGAGAGATTAATTTGTTCAATAGGTTTTTTTCATTAAGGAAGGATTTTGCTTTTGCTTAAAAATGCAAAAGCCTGTAGGCCTGCTTGTCCAGCCTAATCCTAGCAGGAGCTGGGGCAGCTCCATCGCATGCTCTAAGGTAACTCTGCCTAGATGGGATCCTGTGCACAGGCAGAATGGATAACCATGAGGCTGGGGTAGTTTAGTTGGAGCGGTTTCATTGAAAAGAGAGCTGAAGCAGCACAAAATGGCGAGAGGGCATTATGCTGAAATAGAAGGGGGGAGGAATAAAATGTGACAGTTATAAAATGCATTATGTAAGAAATTCTGTTAGTGTTTATAGATTTTATTTTTAAATGTTGTAAAAATAAAGTTTGTGGGAAAATTTTCTTGGATTTAGTTTACACAAATACCTCTGTGTTGTTACGGTTAATGTAGAGAGGGAACATATAGCACAGTAATAATCTATAATAAATGCGGAATAAGGAGGTCTGTTGCCAAAGAAAAGGAAATTGTATGTGTGGGATAAAAATTCTTAACATGATTAACGGATTATATTTTCAGCAGTAGAGGCAGCACATTGAGTGTTCTGGTGTCTGTGGGCTGCATTTCCTGGCTACGCTTGATTATCTTTCAAAACATACCACATCAATTGCATTGCCCCATGTCTACCTTAGGAAAAATCCCCTGAAGTATCTTGTAAGGAAGGGAAATATCATTTCATCTTTTATCCTCACCTGTGGAGGGACAAGTGCACTCCTCCTACACAGTACTTTCTGAAAAGGTTGGATTTGTTTCCCAGGTAGATAGGGCTTCTGGCCGATGTCTGGAGGATCTCGTTGGCAGTGTCATGGCACCACAGTGGTCAGTTTCCACTGGAGCCTTGTTACTTTTGTATCTTCGAGGGGTGCAGTTTCACCCAAAAGCCAAGGTTAAGGAAAAGAAATCCAGCTCTGTCTCTATTATTTTGTAATAAACAGGAAAAGCTCCACATCCCATTGCTACCACAGGTCAGCTGCAGAGTCTTGAGATCCGATGCTCTCTTCTGGGCAAACCTTTGGGAAGTATTATATTTGTTCAGGGTTTTTCCCTTGGTTATTGAATGTTCATGTTTCTTCAGTGGAGAAAAACTGCAAAATATAGGCACTGTATTCCAGGAAAATGAGGACATAGGATTATCGCAAAAGGCTTTAGCCCTACTGTGCATGTGTCTGAACAGAGACACATTCGGTGGTGTCTCAGATAAGTTCTACACTGAAAACACAAGCTATTTTATTAAATACACTCAGTGCCTGTAGGAGGAGCATGTGTTCAAAGAGAACTTGGTCTTTGGTCTTCAATTTGTACCAAGTTTTCCTCCTGTACCAGTGTACTTTGAAAAGGAAAGGTGAGGAGGCTGTATATGCCATAGTAGGAATTGCTGTAATGGATGGGGCGTCAAACCGATGGATGTTTGTGTTGACACTGGAATAAGCAAGATGTTTTGCAACACAGAGACCCGGCAGTGCAGCTCCTCTTCCAGTTCTGGCTGTACAAGGAACTCACATGCACAACACAAAAACTTCCCTAACAGAGTCAGTCAGCACTCAGCGTTCTTATAGAAACTTGGTAAAGGTAACTTTAAGTTCAGGGCACAAGCCATACAATTTTTCTTCCCTTCAGTTGCTGTCATAGAAGAACAAAATGGTCATTTCTGTTTGCTGTAGGCCAGAGAGCCTTTGTTCTTCCAAGTCTTTAAAAAACAAAAGAAAAAAAAAATCCATAAGCTACTGTCATGCTTTGCATGTCAGATAATTCACTTATGAAGGAGAAACTGTTACAATTTCAAAGCAGTGAATCAAAAATAATTTCCTTAGTGATTGACTTTATATTTCCCTCATTCATAGTGCAGACTGAGTGACAGGAGTTCTTGTTAACATGTTTGCGTAATTGTCAAATCTGACTTTTTTCAGATACCTGGAAGGAAACCATCTGACTTCTGTGCCAAAGGGGCTCTCCACCTTCAGACACCTGACACTGATGTAAGAAACACATGGTTTCATTGTCAAGAAAATTACATGACTGTTTCTGCACTGTGTTGTAGGTGAAAAATAAATAATCAGTATTTTGGGGGGAAAAACCCACAAACCCCAAAAACCTTCTGTAATTTGAATTTGGAAAGAATTTCACAGTGGCCACTGCTGCCAATAAGTGTTCATAAAGAGTGGATAAAGAGTGAGGGGACTGAGAGCACCAGAGACCCCTCCTCTGCAGGAGCTTCCAGCCTCTGCGAGAGGGCTAAGCTCTTGTGCAAGCTGCTACAGTTTCAGTTGGCAGATTTATCTGTGTAAAGCTGTAAAGGGCATTAACAGAGGAGATGGCATTAATTTGTTGTAGGTGAGGCAGTATTTATAATGCTGAGGCAATGAAAATCTGCATAGCTGTTTCTGCTATGAACAGTCATACAGATAGAGACACAACTAGGCTTTTTTTAGTAAATTGCTCCCTGAAATACACAGGAGTGAAGTTTCTTGGCTGAAATATTTATCAGAAATTTTCAAATGCTGTTTGAATCAGCTGTAGATACTGAAGCCAAATGGGCAGAACAACCTCAGACAAAAACAACATGGAAGGCAAAACTAGAATCCTCTGTTTTAAAAGTGTTTTATTTGGAAATATCTCTAATTTTGTTTTTCAAGGGAGAGCAACAACAAAACAAAATGTTCTGTTTGAGCCTAAAAGACTTTTTCTAAATTAAAAATGAAACTTTGTTCTAGTAGCTGTCAATGTGAAGAGCATATGGAAATGGTATGCCTGTAATAAATTGCAAAGCAAGTTGGTACAGTAAATATTCACTTATTGTACCATTTATTAATTTATCCTTCTTCAAAAATTCTGCTTCTATTCACTGGGGTTTTTTTAATGTTATATGATGGAAATATGCCTTAATATTTCTGAGTCTGAAGCTTTTTAGGGGAGTCTGATGTGCTTTGCTTTTAGAGCTTACTCAAAATTGGCTGGGAAATATTATATAAATTGATAATATGTGACTTTTCATTTGCTTTGGGCATTTTGCTGTGCAAATATTATGTAATGTTTTAAAAAGACTTATTTCTCAGTTCATACATACAAATTATATTTTTCTGTGTGTGTTTCTTCAGTGATTTGAGCAACAACAGCATAAGCGTATTGGCCAATTACACCTTCAGCAACATGACTCAGTTATCAACGCTGTAAGTAGTCCAAAGTTTTAACAGTTTTAATTGCTTTTTAGACACCATCTTAGGTGTTGAACAATTAGTATATATCTTGTTACTTAAGCATGTGGCTTTCCATGCTTCTTTGTGGTTGAATTAGTAGAGAAATAAGCAAAGAAAATACAACGTTGTAACTCTGTTCTCTCATTCTCCCAGCATCTTGAGTTACAATAGACTTCGGTGCATTCCAGTCCACGCGTTCAACGGGCTCAGGTCTCTTCGGGTGCTGTAAGTACCACTTCTTCGATGCAGCTGAGTTGCAGCTTATTAGAATGCTGTTGATGGCAGAGAGGTTTTTAACGAGCAGATGGCTTTCACTTGATTCAGTAGTCATAAATATTTTCACACAATTAGCTTCAATGTACTTGTACTTAGGTGCAATATGTCCGGTAATGACTAGAGCAGGTGAATGCTAAACTTTGAAAAGAAGCAATTACGTATTTGCAGGATGAATGACTTTTCTCTGATAGTTCAGGGACAAGAACTATCATGAAAATAGGCCTCCAAGAGACTGCATAGGGTCTGTTTGTCTCTTCTACTTGAACAATGTTAGGGTGCCCCACAGGAAAGGACTTTTCTCTTTGCCTGTAAAACCTTGATCGTATTTTAGAATGTAATTTTCCATTGGATGCTTCAGCAAGAGTGTCTTTACTGAAAACTTACGCATTTTTAGGCTATTTGCTATTAATTTAGATTTCTGCAGGCAAGTTTTTACATAAAAGAATGCAATCTGAAAGGAAGTAAGTTAGAAGTCCCCACCCTAAAACAATGGGTAAGACAAGTCAGTGGCTGGGTGCCAGTAATGCTGAGATGCCTGTCTCAAATGCCTTGAAGTTGTGAATGAAATTTCACCTTGTGTTGACTGGCGGCACACTTGGAGATGTCCACGTGTGGTTTCCTTTTTGGAGATACTTTTTTGCACTCTTTCTTTCCAGTGTAGCTGCTTTCAGCAGCTTTCTGAATTGAACAATTTGCTTACAATCTCTTCTGAAAGTCATCATCTTCATATCATCTTGCTGTGTGGGCTGTGGGTCTGTTCCTTGCAGCAAGCAGCCCACCCCAGCTTTTCTCAGGCATCTGCTAGACTGACTCCTGCTTCAGTCTCACATTTATTGTCTCTCACTCCCTATCTGCCCCATCAGAAACAAACCCTGAGTTGGATTTGCTCAGTTGTTTTTGTGGACATGTGACCCCATGTGCAGCTGTCAGGACGAGGTGGAGAAGCCACCTTCCTCCCCACTGCCCAGCAACACAAGCAAGTCATCATTACCTGCACAGTAAACTGAAAGCAAATAAATTAAATGGCTCATCTGTGATGCGATTATTCAGTGTGCTGAAGGAGAAAAAGCTCTGAACACTAAAAGGTCAGGACAGAGGAGTTGAAGAATATGTCCTGAGTGCTTTGAAATTTCAGTTTAGTATTTTCTTTTTTTTTTTTTTTTAAGTTAGATGTCATTCACATGCAGAAGTTTCTGTGAATTTAAAGAGCAAAGGTGTCGACATGGGCAGCACTGCAATTGTGGAAGCAATAAGGCAATGCTGTTTGGCCAAGCTGTTTCACTGTGGTTTGAGTGGTAAAATAGATACCTAGGTTTCAACCTCCTAACTTAGAAGACAGCTTTAGATTCCCAATTTTCATTATTAAAAGCAAGAAAGATACGTGATTTGGATTTGTTGTTTTTAAGTTTGGCTGGGGACTCTGATTTCTAAGCGCACTAGGATGGTCACATTTGAGCTGTTACACGAGTCCTGAAATTCAGCCACAGATTAATATATTCTGTTTCATGGCCAAATAAATTATTCCATATGGAGCTGTCTTCTGGCCTGCTTCCGATATGCAAGCTAGCTTGATTAAAGCTAGTTTGGGACTCTCTACCCTGAATTACAGTGTAGATATACCATGCCTCACTCTTCCCAATAGCTGCAATTTGTCTTTTCACTTCTGTTCTTGCAGGCCATGTATGGACAGAAACAAAGGGCAATATTTTAATAACAACTGTTATCTTTTGGCTTTTTTAAATGATCTGCTAATCAAATTGAAAAAATAACTTCCTCCTTCAAGGGAAAAGCCCTCCCTGTCTTGCACAGGGCTGCCTGAGTGTAATGAAGCCTAAATGGGAATCTCAGCCTCTGCTCCATGCATTAGGAAGCCTCCAGATTGATTTGATTTATTATGGCCCACAAAACCGTGGTATCAGCTACAACTTTTGCCACATGTCATCTATGTTGTTATTAAAAATCAATTCTCCAGAGAGAAAATGGTTTCCAAGTGACAGTGTGCAATCTGTTATTGTCAGTTATTTATTATCCATATTCTCAGGGGAATTTAAAAGAGAAAACATCAGCAAAACCATTTCCACATTTTGTTTTTAATAAAAAGAATATAAAGATTTCATTACCTTTGGCTGTGCCTGCCTTTGAAGGTAGCAGACCCTTCTCATACAGGTTTCTGTGTCTTCCAAATTCCTTATGTTTTCTCTACTTCTTGCCTCTCTAGAGTAAATAAAGTAAATATGTATTTGAAAATCAGAATAATCATAGATGTATGATGAAGTTGATCTTCAACGGATATCTGGTTCTGTCCTCTCTCTCTTACACTTTTCAGTACAACCCCAACTGAGAAAACTGCAGAGTCAGCATGTTTATGTTTAAGCCTGAATAACAGTCTGAAGCTGAAAATCGGTGTTTACACAATCAGGCCTTTAATCTTCCGTCTTCACATGGTTTATTCATAATGGCAGCCAAAGTGTGCTGGGGAGCAATTTCAACAGAGAGTCTTAAGAATTTTTTTTAATAAGCAAAAGTTGGTATCAGTAGGTTTTTGCACCAAAACTATTTCAGTGAAAAATTGTGGGTTTATTTTTTCATTTTGTTTTGGGTTTTTTTGTCCAAAGCTAGTCTTTTTAGAAGCTAAATGTAAACAGATTTAAAAAGCTGAGATTGAGACAAAGTAATTATAAATATTAGAACTCTCTGGTTGACCTGATTATTTTACAGATTATTTTTCGTGTGTGACAATGTTGTAACTTCTGACATTTTGTCCTGATTTAATTAAGAGGCAAAGTCCAGAAATAAAAATATTTTCTTAGATCACTAAACAATTTTTCATGTTATATTTATGAAAAAAATACAAAACACGCTACAGAATATTCTATTAACATTAGATATTCCAGTTTTACTGAAAACTGATGGATATTTACTGCAGTTCAAAGCTCACATAAACACAGTAATACGTGTAATGATAAAGCTACTACAAATCCTCTTCAGGCAGAACCTTGGAACCAATTTTTGCAACATATTTTCATTGTTGGATGCTGCACTGAATTGACCTAACAGAAATATTATTTGGCTTTCGGGGTTGGGTTTGGTTTTTTTTTTTTGCATCGCAGAATGACTACTTGTACTTATCCAGTAAATCCATAAAAGGCGCTGTTGTCATGAGCATTAAGCAGTGACACTGTGGCTTCCCACTTCCTCTGACTTCTGAGTTGTGTTGGTTCCTGCAGGGTTTGGCATCCTTTGGCGTTCATTGCACATGTTTGCCCTTGATGGGATGTGGCTCTGTAAGCTCAGCCAAGCTTTTAGCCACATTTCTGTCTTTATAGGGTAGTTCATTGTTTACTGAAAAGCATTCCCTTTGTGTCTATAGTAACCTAATATTATGAGACAATGGCCTAGGAGGCAGGACTTGAGAACAGTTAGTAAAAAAAAAAAAAAAAAACCTAAATAAACCAACCCAAAAGGGAATGTAGTTCATTTTCTTACCTGAAGACAAAGTAATAAGTTAGTGAGATTACATGTAGAAGTTTTTATTTCAAGAATTCAAGTATTTTATTACTCTGTGCTCTGAGAGGAGATCCCCATCACCTTAAATTCATACCCCTGCTGTTTACCAATATTTAGACAAGAGGATGTCTAGAAGTTGTGCTTTTGAGGGAGAACACAGACATCAATGTGTGTGCTTTAACTGTCCAAATGTTTAAGATTTTATTTGACCATTTGCTTATAAGGATTTTTGGTATAAAAATATGTTCCTGTTGTTAATCCAAGGGGAAAAAGATTTTATTGGACTGTTGAATTCTCTTGCCACTATTTATTATTGTGAGGTTTATGTTTTTTATCATTTATCATTTCATTTTAGCTGTGTGGGTGATGATGTTGCTGGCGTGATTTTTTCATTAAATTGCAGGCATTTGCATCCATGAAACATACCTCAATGTTTGAGATATGTAGTCAAGCCATTCATTCTAAATGGTTTTATATCTTTGATCAGTTTACCTTCTTACAGATAAACAGCTTTGTCATGCTTCGGCTTCTCTTGGAAGAAGTTTCCAAGACATCTAGGAAAGAAAATGCACCCCTTCACAGAACAAACACAACTCATATGACATGAAGATAAATACAAGTTCTGCTGTCTGTTCAGAGAAAATCATCTTGCACATCTTTTAGTAGTTTAAAAAATCAAAATATAAGCTTATTATGAGTTTCTGCTTATGTAAATATGCTCATGTCATTGAAGGAGGGAACGTTTTGATGACAAGTTGTTGACTAGACCTGATCTTGCATCCTCATACCAACAAAAATACTCCTTATTTAATAGCTGTGGGGTATGTCTCAGTCAGTTGGTCATTCTGTATAGAATTGGTAAGCGTGCTTTATGTGGAGTTACTGTGTGAGAGCTCATATCCTTCCTGTTCCTGTTTGGATTAATTGCTTGGAGATCCATCCTTATATATGCCAAGTATTATTATTAATAGCTGAAACCTAGGTGTGTTTAAAAGAAAATGTCAGAATTGGGATGTTGGAAGGGGAAGTTTTTGGTATACGGTGTCGAGAACTGGAGAGAGGTGCCAGCAGGATAACTCTGCTGTAGTTTTTGTGGTTTCATGCTCTGTAGAAAAACTGCAGTACAATAAAATAGAAACTCCAGCTGCAGTGCGCAGCTGTGAAACGTGATTGTGGTAACATTGCTTGGGCTCACATAGTTCATAGCCTCACGGCAGTGCCCAGGCTCACGGGAAGCAGGACAAGGTGTATCTTCCCCTGGCAAGTTTGGTTTTCCTTGCCGTGTGTATGCTGGTGTAAGACAGTGTGTAAAGGTAGAATTCATAAGAGTTATAAGGCATCATGTAGGTCCTGGTGAGGCTTATAGTGGTGTTAGGGTGGAGAAAGGGAAGAAAGGATGCAAAAAGAGATGCTTTTATTTACATCTGGGGCTATTGTGTATTTCCATGGGCATAGATGTTTGGTTTGATTTAAACAAACTCGGTGTGCACCATTTCAAGCATCAGTACAGTCACAAAAATAAAAAAGAAGATGTGATTGCTGTATTCCGCAAATCACCAGGTAAATTAGAAAATAAATGACTCGAAGAAAAGAGCTGCTACAAAACTGACACACAGCAGGTTTCTGTTTTCCACCCTCCTCTGCCATGTCTGGAGCACTGACAGTAATTCCTGGACCTGGGAAAGAGGACATAAACAATAGAGCAGTTTGCTATAACTGAACCAGCTCAAGGGAGAAGTGCAAAAGAAAATATAAGGTTATAATATTGATGTCCTCCTTCTTTGCAAGTTTTCTGCCAACTTTTGTTTAAGAAACGGCTAGTGAGATCCAGTGGAGTTGGCTCCTATTGACTCCTTATGAGTTCTTTCTGTCTGTTACTATGTGAAGTAGTAAGCTGGTATTCAGCAACATGCAAGCTAGAAAAGTTAGAATAAACTGCAAATATTTTTCTCTATACTATTTTTTGCCAGGTAATTATCTAGTAAGGCAGAGGATGCAGCACCTGAATATTACAATTACATGATTGTGTATCTTCTCTGGTGCATTTTCTGGATAGTTTTTACGCAGTCGTCACCCCAGGCATCCTATGCTCTCCCGCACACTCATTTATTGATGCATGTTTTCCTGTCTGATCGTAGCCTTGGTGCTGCAAGAAGTGCTCTTCCTCTCTATTTGTCTGTCACAACCTCTAGTGGTGGTGTCCTGCTTTATAGCAGGGTCTTCAGCTGCAATTGCAATGAAAACCACAAGTAATCATGAATAATGATTTTTGCTCTTGTGTCTGCCACTTTGAATACAAGTATTGTACTCTAAAATCTGCAAGAAAAATCTTCCCATTTATGCTTGCCTATGAAACATATGCATATATGTATTTCTTAGAAAAGAGATCAAGTGGCTGCTTAAATTGTCCTGTAAACAGTGGAGAACCCTTTTGCAAGGATCCTGAAAACGCTGCTAGAAAAATGTTAGTTTCTATGCTCAGGGTGAATAATGCCCTAAGACAACTAATTTCAAGCATTTTCCCTGGAAGCATAAATGTATTTGTCAAACAGATTTTTAAAATACCACACAAAGGGGTATTTCCTACTGTAAGAATGGGAAATTAGAATGTGAAAGTGCAGATATATTTGCCCTCATGGACCCTTGCTCTCTCCTAGGATCTCTCTGAAGTCAATATTTAATTTAACTTTCACAGTTCCTATTTTCCCTCTTCTGGTTTTTCTGTGTTTCCGGCTAATGGGATTCTATAAAAGCATACAGGTCTGCATGTGAGGGTCTGCTTGTCATCAATATACTTTTAATAGCATAAATAGTATGTTCACCTTTTTAATTTAAAACATTAGTCACCAACAATTCCGATTGTATCATTATTTTAAATGTCAACATCTAGAAGTAGAAGTAATAAAGCATGGAAGCTCATGAGTTGTGAAGCTCATAGAAACTCTCAAAGAAACAAAATTAAATATCCTTCTTAAGCACCAATTCCTTTTTTTGTGGGGAGCAGATAAAATACTGTGGTTTGATACCTTCCTGCTTCTCCCCTCTTCTAGGACACTCCATGGAAATGATATTTCCAGTGTTCCCGAAGGTTCTTTCAATGACCTGGTATCACTGTCCCATCTGTAAGTACTTCTGTCTGGGTTCATCTGTTTGATTGACAGTTTCAGATTTATAAAACAGTACATATTATTACAAATTTAAGATTTTATAGCTTTTCTGTTTTTCCTGCTCACTTTCCATATTCTGCTCTAGATGTTCATAGCGCATGTCTTCAAAGGAAATAAAAAAATTTTAGAACCTGTTGTTATTAGTTACCAAAATATTTTCTTAAGGAAAACCAAATGAGCAAATGTAACAGTTTCCTCCTCTGTGGACTTTGTGTTTAAGGCTTTCTTTCAGCATTGTCTATGTGAAATGCAGAGTGTGTTATGGTCTGAGAGTGAGACAGGAAACCTCCCACAAAGAGCAAATATTAAGCAAATGTGAATTCTGTCCTTAATAAGTGTCATATGTTTTGCATACTGAAATGTTGTCAGTATATGAACTTGTTGATGAATCACTACTTCAGACATACAGATTTAATCATATGGAAATTGGCCATTTCACAGCATTAATACCTCATTCCATAATTTGCAAAAATTATTAGAAGCTTCAGATATTTCAGGAAATCACTATTGTATTGGTGGAGGTCCAGGATATTTTTAAATGTGGTTCAGTCGATGGAAGAACTGTAAAGACAAATAGCTGCAGTTGTTATCAGAATAAACCTGTAGTTTAACAGTTGATGCCAAAAGAGTGAACAGAAAATGTTTTTTCATTGAGATAATGTGTGATACTGCACATTGTTAGGCAATAGGCGTAAAGGAAAAGTAATTTTGTGTAGCACGCTTCTTGATTACTGTCCTCAAGTAATCAGAGGGTTGGGTATGTCTTGGTCATTTTGTGAAGTGACTAGTTTCACAAGTTGATACGGGTATTTTCTGCTCTGATGCTGCCCTCATGCACACGAGCTGATGTTGATGTATACACATTGAGACGTACAAAGGGATATGTGTGCATTTAACATAGGTTTTATCTCTCTCTCCCCCCCGCCCCCCAAACCTTAAACATGCCCTCCAGAGCAGTCACCTGAACACAAGGTTCAGTTCATATTTACATATTTTCTGGATAGCAAACGTGTCCTCGGACTGTTTATTTCTGTGTAACACCTTTCTGTCTCAGTTTCTCCCCAGACAATAAAAACTAAAGATATCTCAGATTAGTAGGGACAGAAATCCTCTGTGAGCAACTTAAGGAATTTCAACTTCAGCTGAGAAATAACCTCCTCTATTTCAAGCTTAGACCTTGGTGTCTAAGTCAGAGAAAATACCTGTTTTGCACAAAATGTATTTCTTCATCCTGTTCCCAGTATAGTCAAGTCATTTTATACGTTGTTTTAGAGTGAAAGTCTGACTGAGCTGAAGCCCTGTGTCTCCTTTTGGAAGTGCAGTGACACCTTCCATACTGGGAATCTGGCTTCTGAGGGTATTTTTAGAAGTCAAGAGATAAACAGATCATGCCTAATTTGTTTGGATTTTCCTCAGGGTTTACTTTAAATGAAGTGCAGATCCAATTTTCCTGGGTAAACCATTCACCTTTGGGAGTGATAAAACCCCCTTTGGCCCCATACAATCACTGCAGTCTATCTGTTTAGATGTATGTGCTGCCAGAAATGTAAAATACACAAAGCTCAAATGAACAGTAATAAATAGGATCCATAAAATAAATAAGACCTGTCTGGGGTGTAATTTGCACAGTTGAACAATTGAATTTTACAGTGCAATTGTGCTCGCCAGTTTCTTAAAGAGAATTCTGAAACTTTTAGCAACCACAATGATTTTGCTCTTCACATGCCAGAAAAAGCTGTGCTTATTCAAACGAAGTCATACATAATTGAAAATAAATTCATTTTGAGCTCTCCCTGACATATAGATCTTCAAGGAGAAAGCATGCACTTGGAATAATTTTGAAAATGATACAAGGGGTTGCTACTCATCAAACTCATAATGCATAGGAGAACAAAATTTTATGTTAAATTTACAAGCTGTGTGGCTAAGAGTAGGATAGGTATTATGGCTGGAGAAAGCTGACCGCCAAGGTGTTGAGCGGGATGATCAGCCTGGGCCTTCTGCGTAGTACAGTTTGGGGCAGGGGGGAGGGAGGGTATCAAATTAACCTTTAGAATTGCCAAGAAATATTTGTGTAGCATAGACAAAACTATTGATTTTAGTCAGAGTCTTTTGTAGTAGCTTTAAATTGGTTTGTAATTGGAAGAACAAAACTGAGATCTAGATACTTCAATCACTTTTTCCATACCTGTTCAAAGCCTACAAGAAAATGTTCACCAAATTTCCTTTACATTGTAAACATCATATTGTTGTAATGTAACTATTATAATAAACTGTGTAGCTGATATACCTCACTAAAGACAGAGGAAGGTTTGTATAAGGTATTCACACACTGGTTTTGCTTACTATCTATGACTTTATTTACTTGAATCATATAATTGTCTTTTTAAGCCATGACTCTACTAACTTGTTTAATCCAGGGCAATGAAAAAATATTATAGCACTACCAAAGGATCACATATACTAATACTTAAAAAGAACCCAAAATCTGTTGGTGTAGAACTGAGACTTTCACAGTTAGGTCAGCTCCTGTATTTGCTGTCCTCACCATTCGCTGATACACACAACTCTGTAACCGATTCAGTTTCCTAAATACTGCCCATGCATAAACTGACCTCTCAGCACTCCAGGGGTTCCACAAAGAAACCCTTGGTGATGGGTGCTGTGTACAACAGGTATTTATGTCAGACGTATTTTCGATAAACAGCTCAGATTCCTAATCCTGTTGAATCATCTCATCTTTACTAGAATTTATGTTAGTTACCTACAAAAATAAGCTGTCCCCTCCTCTGTTTTTCCACGTTATCATGGCTAGAGTTATTTTAATTGACTTTATTCTAAGTTGGCTCAAAAAAAAAAAAGTGTCTGAGCAGAAATATCTGCACATTTTGAAAATGCGGGTGGTGGTATTTCATTACAGCACAAGATATTTTTACTTTCTGGAAACATTTTGCTGTCATGGGCAAAGAAATAGAGAGAACATGTTAGAACTCATTAATGAAAATACAAGAATTCACTATAGTTCCTAGAAATGAAGGAAAAAAAACCCGAAAACCACAAACAAAAGAATGGAAAGATACATGTGATAATTTCTGCAGTTGTACAATAATGTTATTGGTAATCATTTCTAGTGTCTATAGAGCAACTTTATTTCTAATGTAGTTTATAAACATTAATTAATGCACTAACTAGCTTTCCGTTATCCTCCCACTCCCATTTTGAGCAGTTGCTCAGCACTAAAGTTAATTTCTTGGTCCAACTTTCACTGCTGCATTTTGTTTGACCTTGGACAAGTGAGCCAGTTGATCACAGTTACAGGGTCAAAAAGTCAACCCAGTAGTTTTTTTTTCCATTGTAAGCAATGAATTTACAGAAGGAATGGATGGATATTTTTTAATACTGTGCTGCAGTACACATTTAATTTTGATGAATGAGCCCTAGACAGGGTTTGAACCTATGAACTCTCATTATGAATCTGTCTAGGGCACAGTGGGTTCATTAGTCACTCCAATAGAAATGTATCAACAAATTTACTGAGGTTTCTATCTTAATATCCTGTCTGATATGTTTTTATTTGAAAGAAGCTTGAGTTTAAAATACCATCTTAAAAACAGTTTATAACATATGAAGAAATAGTAAAGTCTAAAACCCAATTTGAATTATTGGTTTCTTTAGTATCTCTTCCCTGTGTTAATCTTTAATTACTTAATTTTCTTCCCATGGCAATTCAGGTGTTATACAGCTAAAGCCTTACATTTACTTTCCACAAAGTAAATTCAGACTTCCAACATGCATTTCTTCACCCTTTCAAAAAATAATTGTTTTTAAGCTGACTTTTCTGAAGTCTGGACTTTGTAACTGACTGATTGCCTGAAAAGACACTTTCTTTAAGAGAAAAAATAGTATAAATGAGTCAAGGCAGCACCTAAATTTAAGGTAAAAAGGTTTGTTTTCTTTTGAATAGACCTCCGTGAATGATGAAAAAGTTCTATGAATCATAATTGCACTATGTGAATGCAGCTACTTCAACCATACGACCTAACCCACGTGACGGGTTAACCAGCAAATGTGTTTTCAAAGCCATAAACAAACTTAACAGACACCAGGTTGCGGTTTTGAAAACAGGGATATCCTCTGTGTGTATGTTTCATCTAGTGAGGAGATGTTAACATAAGTCATCAGATCCAAACTAAATTACACAATTCACTGTTAGAATATGCTCATGAAGGCCAAAGACTTAAATAAAAGAAACCAACATGATGAATTTGATGAAAGCAATATGTCTGGCGACATTGCTCAAGGACAATTTTTGAAAAAGTGATTTATTGTTTGCAAAAGTGATTTGTTGTCAGGTATTTATACAACCTCCCTAACTAATGATGGGAAGAAATGAAAAGAGTGAGAATACTGGAGGAGATAAATCTAAAAGACTTCCTGAATACTCAGAAGATCTTTCGCACATTTTGAAGTAAAGCATTCCTGTAAAAGTGCAGAATAAAATGTGCCTCAATGAGATCAGGGATGTTATCTTTGCTTGCAAGCCAAAATAACTGCTGTTAATTGCTTTACATCACTAGGGCTCTAGGTACCAACCCTTTGCACTGCGATTGCAACCTCCGCTGGCTTTCCGAGTGGGTGAAGGCAGGGTACAAAGAGCCAGGGATAGCCCGCTGCAGTGGGCCTGACGCCATGGTGGACAGGCTGCTGCTCACAACACCGACCCACCACTTCCAGTGCAAAGGTAGGAGCAAGCTGGGAGGTTCTCTGTGCTGTCCTGTTGCTCTTCCTTGCATACAGTGCTTTATTTTTATACTCTTGGAAGCTGTCTGGTTTTCAAGTGAGTTTGGGGGGGTGGGGTGGGGTGGTTGGGTTTGGTTTGCATTTTCTGAACCATCACATTACATTCAAGTTGCATTTTCAAGGGTTCTTTCACAAAGTGCAGTTAACCACACCCCTGAAAGGAAAAACGGCAAACCTCAGAAGAGTACCCGCTGTTCACACCAGATTATATAATGGCAAGTTAGCATATAGGATGTTGTTAGAACTTATTTGAGCAAATAAATTACTTTTGGCCTTCTACCTACCCCAGAAAACTATGGTATAATAGGGGTTATTTTAAAAATACAGAGCACTAGTTATTATGTACATTTACTTGAAAATTGAGAAACTGAGAATTCTTCTGGAAAGCAAATATTTACCAAAAGTACATTTTCATTTGAAGATCTGCAAACTGTCCTCATCAGCTCTGTATCAGAAACTGTAGATTATGGAAAATGTTTCATGTCTGAATACAGTGTATATTTGTTCAGGAGAGAGTTGAGGCGCGGCTATTAACAATTAGGGGTAGTCAATGATAGGAGTATGCTGCATTAGAGAGCAGTTAGACAAATAATAATGAGCACACCTTTTTGTGGATAAAGTAAGTAGCTTATTATTAAATGTAGATTAGGATATACCTGTATGTTCTTGATGTAAAAAAGTTTTGGAGGTTCTCTTAGGTTAGAAGGTGGAGCTATATTTATAGTGGAAAAGATGGGTCAGTAGCCTCTCTTATAAATGGAAATGAGGGGATAAAGCCTGTTTCTAGGTCTCTCAGAGTGCCATGCACATTTGCAGTACTGCTTGGCAGTGTGATTTTATAGAGGCTGGGATTAAACTGCTGAACAAACAAATGATGGTGTTGAGGTGGGTTTAGAACTAAAGTTGTCAAGCCTGAGAAGAATTTTGTGTCCTTTCAAATATATTTTTAATAACTGTAACCTTATAATTTAATTACTTTGAAATGTGAGTCTCAAAACTACCAGAACTCTGACTATAATTATCAGACTTTATAATAGCCTCTCAAATGTGAAGTACAAATTTACCCTAAATACTAAAAATACCAAATAATGCAGTTGTTCACTCAAAGTGAAACAAAGAAAATGATTGTATTTACATATAGAATCATAGAATCGTTTAGGTTGGAAAAGACCTTTAAGATCATCTAGTCCAACCATTAACCTACACTACCAAGTCCACACTAAACCAATCAAGGGTAGATTAGACTAAACCATGTCCCAAAGTGACACATCTACCCATTTTTTGAACGCTTCCAGGGATGGTGACTCCACCACCTCTCTGGGCAGCCTGTTCCAATGCTTGACCACCCTTTCCGTAATGAAATTTTTCCTAATATCCAATCTAAACCTCTCCTGGTGCAGCTTGAGCCTATTTCCTCTCGTCCTATTGCTAACTACCCAGGAGAAGAGCCCAACACCCACCTCACTACAGCCTCCTTTCAGGTAGTTGTAGAGAGCGATAAGGTCTCCCCTCAGCCTCCTCTTCTCCAGGCTAAACAACCCCAGTTCCCTCAGCCGCTCCTCATAAGGCCTGTGCTCCAGACCCTTCACCAGCCTTGTTGCCCTTCTCTGGACATGCTCCAGCACCTCAATGTCTTTCTTGTAGTGAGGGGCCCAAAACTGGACACAGTATTCCAGGTGCGGCCTCACCAGCGCCGAGTACAGGGGGACAATCACCTCCCTGCTCCTGCTGGCTACACTCTTCCTGATACAAGCCAGGATGCTGTTGGCCTTCTTGGCCACCTGGGCACACTGCTGGCTCATGTTCATATTAAACAGGGTCTGAAAACTAATCCAGAAAGAGAAGCTAGATGACTTTTTCATTCTGAAACTGTGATATATCAAGTTATGCTCACTTTCTCTCAAAACTAAGCAAGCAACTCTTAGGCAAGAGATAAGTAAACCTGTGATCCACACTACTAAAAACAGCTGTATGTTTTTTATGTAAATACTAGTTTGGTCCACTAAAAAACTGGTGGGCTTTCTACTATCCTAACTGTCTCCCCATGGCTCACTTTATCTGAATAGAAAAGGACAAAAAAGTGTTGATTTAGACGTGGTCTTTGGACAAGCAGAAACTGTTGATGGTCTGGACAAGGGGCAGTGTACTCCAAAAAGCACCAGGCCCTAGCAAAATTCACCATTTCTCATCACAATACATCTATGTTGAAAAACAATGCATGATTTGATAGTCTAACTGAACCCATTTCCCATGTGCATCTTTAAGATCCAATGCCCCGTGCTATTCTGTCTGGACATCGGTGATGCTCTTTACCATAAAAGCAACAGGATTTATTACAATGTCAAGTGCAGGTTTACCCTCGGGCTGGAGCCATGTGCGTGGCCTGTGACAGGGTACGGTGCAGCCTCCGTTTGTCCTGCAGCTGCATCACCCTCTCATCACTGAGCTGTAGCTGTGACATGTGCCTGTCAGTAGAAGAGTGAGACTGTCTGTGGGGTGACATAGAATGCCCAAGCATCTGTACTTCTGCCTGTGTAGATTCAGTCCTAGCTCAAGTACTGCTAGCACAGAGCTCAGGGTGGGCTGAACCTCCCACCCCCCTAAAAGTCTGGGTCATTGCTGCAGAAGTCAAGCCCATGCTGAGCTTGGTACCTTGAGATGCTTGTATAAAGGTAGCGCATAGATGTCCTCTGTGAACTCCAGTAACTTTTACATTAAAAAAAAGTAGAGTTCAACTTATTCTTGTTAAAATTATGTTTTTAGCCTGTGACTGAGCAGAAGGTTATGTCTCAGCAGAGCCAAGAAAATAAAAGTATGTAATGTGCAAGTCATGCAAACTCAGCTCTGTTTTTTATTAAATTGCCCTCCTAGTTATGCAGTAGAGGAAAGGAATGTGCTAGGCTGAGGGCATTTTGCTATGTGGATTTATAAATCAAATCCACAAGGGCAAACTAATGAACTATTTAACTGCTAGGAACTAACACTGTTCTTATTAGCTCCTACATTGATTAGCTTTGATCTATGCCATAGGAATAAATGGAAAATGTACACGTGTTTATTATGAAATAAATAAATAATAGAACAAATTCTGGCTTAGTGACCTCTAAATCTAGAAGATCAGCACTGCTGCCTGTCTCATGAGCTCTTCCAGGAGCTACCTTCCTGTATTCTTCATATATTCTACCTTGAAGACAAAAGTAGTTCAGATATCTCACATTCCACCCTGTCAGTGCTAGCAATTCAGACGTTATTTCTTCTTGCTGTCCTAACTCCAAGTTAAAAACATGTATGGCATTTAGTTAGAAATAAACACAAAGATAGAAGAAGATGATAACAGTCTTTGATTTAATTTTTGGATTTGTTACTTCTTGTGTGTTTTTTCCTCATTGTTGCATGTTGCACTTTGCAGTCAGCTGTGCCCTGTTAACAGACCATTGCATATTGCACTCTGCAGTCAGTGGCCCTGACACCACCACCATCAGCATAGGATATAGCCTTTAGATTACAGGTGATTTTCAGCTGAGTCTCCTTGGTACCCATTTCTGTCATGTTCTTATCCCCTGTTGGTGCTGTGCAAGTATTCAAAGTTAATAAGGAAGGTTTATCTCTCATACAGGATGGTCCAAAGCAAATCCTTAACTGGTAGGGGTTTTTTCATCCCTAATTTTGGTAACCTTCTACAGCTCCACCTTCTCTCTAACATTAAGTATAAGCTGCTTTTCTTCACTTTCAGGATCTTTCACAATTTACTGCTCCTTATCATTTATCATGCAGTAACAGAAGCTCTGTGCCCACTTCTGATTAGCACAGGATCAATTTTAAGTTATTTTAAAATGTATTTCATTAAAAATGAAATAAAATTATTTTAGGGTCTTTGCTGCCCGATATAATTTAAGCCCTTTTAAAGTGTTAGGTTTTATTTTTTACATGTAAAAGCCATTAACTCATTAGTCTTCAAAATTTAGCCACTTCAAAATCACCATTTCTTTAACTGTAAATATAACTATCTCATCAGCTTTCTGTAAAATCTCAATAATAAAATATTGATTGATTTGGTACCCCAAATGTACTTAGTATTGATTTGGTCTGTGTTAATTTTCCTGCCCACCCACAGACTTCACTACTTCTCTGGAAGAGTTTTGTTCAACAATGTGGTTTATTAAATGGTTTAAATATGGCCATGTATATTTACCTGCATACCTTTACATCTTTGCAAATTTGTCTTTGTTGTATTTTACCGAGATAGCTCAATGTTGATAATCATTCTTCTGGGCAGAACAGGAAGAAAACAAGTTTTGAACTCTGTTAAAATTAAGGATGGTAGAACACTTTGCACCTAAATATTCCCATAAGCCTCTAACTAAATCTTTCTTATGCATGTTTTTCATTTCTGCTGTTGCATCTGTACTTTCATTCTTGTTACCAGCCATAGAAATGTCATGTTATAGTTCCCTAGGGGTTACTATTGCAGAATTTCCAGCACTGAGAGAAGGAAAAATTGCTGAAAGCCATATATATATATATATATAAAAGCCCACTCTCTGGAGATTCCCAATGTGTTTTTTCAGAGCTGATGGTTGCATGTCCAGGAGAATATAAGCATCATTGAGTCTTGCCTAGCACTTGATTTAAGTACTTAAAATCTCTCTAATCCCTGGGAATCCCACACTGTTGTGTAAAGTTGCACCCACAGCATGTGCATTTGTGCCAAGGCAGGGTGAATACTGCATTAGGAAAAAACGTATGTGTGAGTACGGGAAGCATTAATTTTGTAATCCAGTTCTCTATTAATACACTGTGTTTTGCCTTTCCAGAGCCAGTAGATATCAGTGTTGTGTCCAAGTGTAACCCCTGCCTCTCCAATCCGTGTAAGAACAATGGGACATGCAACAATGATCCAGTGGAGTTTTATCAATGCACTTGCCCTTTTGGCTTCAAGGTATGACTACAAATGAACTACATGAAAAGCAATAAAGTGTTCTCCATTCCTTCTATTTTCTTAATTGTTGTACCATGAGAAGTCAATTTTACAGGCAGCTGAGCTCAAAAGATCCCTTGCTCAAGCAGATTGTGTGTGACCTTTCAACTGTGCCCCACTACAAATTTTATCCTGTGCAATAGGAAAGGCATTTCTCTCTGTGCCGTGACTATGCCGATCATCCTGAGCAACTTGCTGTAGCTGACCCTACTTTGAGCAGGGTGGTTGGACTAGACAATCTCCAGAGATTGCTTCCAACCTTGGGCATTCTCTGATTCTGTGATGTAGACATCCGTATGAAATGGCAAGTGGATTTTATCTTCCTTTTCATTTCTTTTGCTAGCAAAAAGATGACTATTTCATAGGCTGCCAGGCCAAAGGGGAGGCAGTTCAGATGAGAATTAAGGGCCAGTTTACTCCACAGTGACAGAATGTTGATACTTGCTAGCTTACATCCGTCTCACACAGACTGATTAGCAGAAAGGTGATAACTGATTAGACACAACCACTAGCTTAGCTGTCTCTGACTTCTGAACACTAATGACCATAGAGTGATCTGCAAATGTGAAATCCTGTAGATGCCAAGCATTGTGAGCATGCAGTGTCAGTATCTTGATAACACATTTGAAAATCAGAAAATCATGTTATTGGGAAATGCAGTTTCTTCGGTAGTGATGTATAACCCCGTTGCTAACACTGCATCATGAGAGCTTAAGGCTACCAGGACTTTGTTTCAGAGCTGATATAACTGGAAACCTAGCTCAGTAGTCAGTAGCTGAAGGATTAAGTATAAGTAATAAATGAGGCATATGATCTGTTCACAGCCTGGGGGGGGATCAGATGTTATAGCCAAAGAAGTAGCTTGCATCCTGTAGACTGTGATTTTATTTGCCTCATTGGATATTTCTTACAGAGTCTTGGTCAGTTGAGAGCAGATGCTCATCACTATCAGGCAAATAAAGAAGGACAAAACCAGACATATATGTGGGAAGTAAGCACAAGTATCCATATCTTACATTTCAGGTAGGATTTAGGTTGGTTCTGATGATATCACCATTTCCCTTCTCTGTTTGCCTAGGATATATCCCAGATGGTAACAGAGTAATTCTGGTAGATCCCTGAAACACTGGAAAAGGGAAGATGTAAAGCTCATGTCTTCTATTTCACCCCACTGCCCCCACGCTTGGTACTCAAGCGTAATAGCAATTCTCCTAAATAATTGAAAAAGCCACTGGAAATTTCCTCTCATTAAAAATCCTTCTACCCATTGGCATATCAATGAGCAACTTTTCTAGGATCTTAAAAGACCACATTGTCAAAACTCCATTCAACTGAAACTAACTACTTCGTAACGATTGATTTGTCTTTGTAACGAGGGAAACCGTAGCTGTTTATCTCGTCAGGATAATAGAACAGTAATTTTAACTTGATGTTTAACATAAACTAGGTTGAATTCTTCAGATGGGACTAGGTGACTGTTAGGATAACTTGAAAGGTAAAAGCTTTCAAAACTATCAGGAAAATACATAAATCTTTGTGTATGTCTTACTCTATAAAGCATGTATTGTGGAACAGATACCCAGGTAGTTCAAAGTAGAAATGTGTTTGTTATGAGCATACCATTTTTTTCCCCTTAGTTTTTTCTTTTATTTTTATAGTATTTCTGTATTAGCAAATGTGCTAATATAGATGCATATATAGTGCTAGAAGACATGTTTACAAAGGGAGGATTTATTAACAAGAATAATCAAGAATAATCCTCTAGTTATATTAGCAATCACTTTCTAGTGTACATTAGACCTCAGTATGCATTGTTTTACTTAGAAAGGTTTTGATAAACTCTTGAAGTGACTCAATTTAAATATCTCATAGAGCATCCAGCTTTTCTTCTCTCTCGCTCACTTTCTCAGGTGACATTCAGCGTGTGAATGTAAAACCTAGAACCACTTGTGTTCTTGTAAGCACCAAGCTGTCATCCAACTATGGCAAAGAGCAAACAGACCCAGGCATGGCACTTAGAGCAGAGTTTAAAAATACTGACTGGATAACAGTACAGGGAGAATTGGTGGAAATTTAATAAGCAAGAAAGAACTGCATGTCTTTACCACAGGTTTTTGAATAAAAATGAAATTTGACAGGTCCAAATGCAAACCATATGAAAGGAGCACTCTATCTACCACGCAGTTCTCCACCAGAGATTCATGCTAATTCAATAACAATACCTTGCTTCCTTCTCACCAGCTAGCACCAAACATCTCTATCCATCTGGAAGCTATTTCTCAGACCTTGATAAATTGCCCTAAATCTGCCCTATCAGCATTTGTTTTTCCTTGTTTGATGTAGATTTTGAAAAAATCTTGTGTGGAAGAGTGCATCAATAAAGTGAAAAACCTACCCTTTTTTCAAACGTAAGCTCATTCAAATAGGCTGACGGCTTTATAATGTTCCCTGGAAAGGGACAGACAGTTACAGACTGCTTTCTGGGGTTCCCGTGCTCATGCTAGCCTTCAGAAAAAAACAGTAGGCCAACTAGCAGAAAGCCACCTAAGTTACTAGTTGCCAAACTGGTGCCTGATGGAATCAGGAACTTCTACCAATTAACTGTATTTGCAAAAGCCTGTAGCTTTATTGTTCACTATCACATTGATGATGTCTCAATCTCTTATTTTTCATGATCACAAAAATGTTTTTGCTATTGAATGCATACCTTACGGGGTTTTTAGCAATGTGTAATGCTGCCCATGATGGGTTTGAGTAAACTTAAAAGTGAGATTACTCATGGACCACCTGAGCTGAGAGGCCAATGGGCCAGGCAGTTGTGTTTGATGACAGAAATATGGATTGGTCACTTGGGAATGGGGAAGGCTATGTGCTGATAGCTACCTTTGCTGCTGCTCCTTAAAATGGGTGATGAATGTGTTTGCTATAGATAAGCCATGGTTGAAACAGTGTTTTTTCCATGGTTGTTTGGGGACAAAGCCCTAAAGACAGTGGGAGATGGTGTGAGAGTGCCACATATGGTGACTGGCAGGCTGCACAAGCTTGAGCTCCAGGGTGCCACCAATGCTGGCCCGAAATGTCTCTTCATGTTATGAAGCTTGTGTTTTCATATTAAACACAGACATAGGTGTAATTATCCAGCAATTTTTGTTTCTCTTCTCCATAGCATTCTTTGAAAGATTATTTAAATAATATGTGTGGTTTAGATTGTGAAGTATGATTACAAGTAGAGAAATGAAGCTTTCTTCTGCTGTAAATGCTGCTGGCCACCTGCAGTGCAAGTGTGTGTGAGTGCAGCTGGTGGCTGGTAAATAGATAATGGTACCGTACTAATTCATTTATCCTGCAGAGTGTGTGGCTTTTATGTATTCCCATTGACACTGTAAAATTGAGTCTACGGGTGTTAGAATTCAAGAGAATAATCAAACTTGCAATCAATAAGCCATTGAGAAAGGATTTACTTGAATAGCTGTAGTAAAAACTAAGGTGAGTGAAACCAGCGCTCAGTGTACTTTGCTGTTGCTGTATTCTGAAAGCATCCTTTTGGATTTTTTGGCTGATTTTTGTGTCTTTCATACTTTTTTTACTTAAAACTGAGGTAACAACAAATGAAGGAGAATCATTTTCTGTCTTCCAAAAAGAGTTCATAGAATCATAGAATCATAGAATGCTTTGGGTTGG